CTCTGGAGTGTTCGGCGCGAAGATCGCGAACACCTCCCCCTTCTTGAGCCCGCGGGACTGGAGGCCGCCAGAGCAGACCTTGACGGCGGACTTGAGCGCCTCCCGTGGATCCAGGAGGGGGAGCAGCTGGAGCGGTCCCCACTCGTGGGGGAAGACGTGGAGTGGCGGGGGATCGAGATATTCCGAGTTGCATGCTGAACGAGGAAGGTAAGGAGACGGACAAGACTGGGAATGCCAACCGAGTCAGATGATCCTCCATCCCACTTGCCTTGGGCGAAGAGGGGGGAGGGTTAGTAGACGAACAAGGCTGATAATGCCAGTCGAGTTGGGCGATCCTCCTTCCCGCCTTCCTTGGCACACGAATACGAAACGTGTGTGTGTGTGTGGAGAAATCATATGATATGCGCTGTAGGCGTTGGGAATGCCTTCGCAATGGCTTGGGACTTCCAGAGCAAACATTTTGAACCTGGTGCGTGGGCTCCCAGAGAAGTCTTTAGCAACTCTGGAGCAAGCATCGCTATCTTGCTACAGCGTGTGGATAGCGTGTGACTCTGTGCAAAATCTTCGGCACCGCCTGTTCTCTGCACCCTCCGGCCACCTGAGGCCCCGCCCGCCCGCGCCCTGTCTCCCTAATTAAGGCTTCGCGCGCCCCGCCTAGCTCTGAACCGGAAGGGGCCCGCTCCCGACCCGCCGACCAAAAAGTGGATAGCGTGTGGACAATGATTTGTTGATGCGTTTTCGCAGGCGGTGCGTGTAACAAAAACCGTGGGGAGATACTTTGATTTGCAGTCCCGCACCCACCCCTGGCGGCCAATCCCCGTACACCTGTTCGCCCTCTCGCGCTCACTGCGGTCTGCCGAAGACCAGCTGACTCCACGGGGTATATGTGGTTCATTGTCCAAACAATGTGCCCTCTGGTAGCTCATAATGCAATCGATCCAGCTGGCCCGAATGACTGGGCCCTCAAAGGTGCTATGACAACAACCACCGCTGGTGGCTACACCTTGTATATCATCCTGATGTTTTTTTGTTATATCGGCGGGGGACCTACCTGTGCCCCAATCGAACCGCATTGGGATTAACCGATATATGTGCATCGCTCACCGAAGCGTGCGTGGGACTTGTGATACGTGATGTTCTGCCCCAACAAAGCGATACACGCCAGAATAATTACACATGCACCAGGCACAGATAGCTGCGAACGTACACATCGACATACGCACGCGTCCACTATAGACGCATGCTCATCCGTTCACTGGGCCCTGCAATACGGCAGGTAACGTACATCTGCGAAGCACGCGCACACGCAGATACACACAGAAACACACGCGCACACATATGCACACGTACACACAAACACACAAGCACACGCAACACACAACACACAACACACAAGACACAGCCCACAACACACAACGCACAACACACATACAACACAAATGATATACAAGGCACAACACACAACACACCACACACACCACACACACACACCACACACACAACACATAACACACAACACACACACAACACACACACACACACACGCACGCACACGCACACATACACACATACACACATACACACGCAAACACACACATATTCACACACACACACGCTCTTGCACATGCATGCGTTCGCACACATGTTTTGAAGTCGCGGCCATACGCGCAGCAACTCGACGAAGTCAAGCAAGGGTCGAAAGAAGCGCGAGGACCGGCTCACTCACGCAGCAGGGGCATGCTGGGTCCACCCATAAGGGACCACGCGGCACGACTCGCGGGGGGGCAGTCATGAGGCGGGGACGAAAAAGGAACGACAGTGGGTGGGGAAGGCGCGACCGAGGTGGTCGTGCCACGAGTTGGTGGCAAACGTCGAGAGACGTGAAAGTGCAGTGGCGGACCCGCAAGGGGTGAAGAAGCGTGGCGCAGTAGTACGTACAAGCGTACACGTACACGCACAACACGCACACATATACATTTTGTACACGCTCTCCTCGGCAGGTTGGCGCACGGCACCGCATTGGTCCGACGGCGAACTGCCGACGCAACCAAGGGGAGAGGGAGACGGGAGGAGGAGAGAGCGGTCGAGTAAAGCGACAGCGCCAGCCATTGCACATCGCGGACTCAGGGAAGGGCGTCCATCTTGGTCCCCCGTGGAGGCTACCTCGACTGGCGGGGATCCTGGAGACGCAGTCTGCACGTCGCGGAATGGGGCAGGCGTCAACCACGCCGCGTCATGCAGGCTACATTACGTGGGGGGCGCTGGGAGACGCTCTCGACATGGCAGCTACGGCCCGACGCGGGAAACACCAAGCGAAACTAAGCATACAATCGCACATACAGAAACGCAAGCTCGAACATCCACAAGCATACGCCGCGACCCTCGACCCGCATGCACTTGCAAAACCAAATTCTCGCATTGCACATGCCCACTCCCACCGAGAAAGTAATAACCTCTCCGGTGGTTCCGTTGACTATTGCCTCTCTGTTGCCAAACTTGTAGAAGTGCTGCATGACGCAATCTGCAGTCCCAGGTATCCATATATATATATATATATATATATACACATCGGACTTCCCTTTGCCTGCCAGGGTCTCTCGCTTTTCCACAGTTGTGGCGCGTCACCAAGATTTCCTACACAATGGCCATGCTAACTTGTCGTTCCTCGATTCTTCGGCAAGGACCTGGCACTCGTTAGCACCAACAGTACTGCGAATAATCGGCGTCGCCCTGTGCGACTACTGGGGCAATCATTCAAACATGGAGCCGGGGATGGACATCAAGTCAAAAAGTACGCTACCGAGGAACCCCACATACCTATAATTATATGTCTGGCGTGATGATAGCTGACGTGGAACTTGCGAGAATGATGCTGGTGGCCGTTGCTTCGCCGATACCGTCGGTGGCGCTGGTCAAGCCTTGGGAGACTGACGCGCCCTGCGAACAACAGCCTGAGCCATGGCGACAACGGAAGAGAGCGAGGCTGTAGGTAGACTGGCGGACGGCGCGCGAGTCTCGACGCGGTGGGCAGGCGGACGGCGCATGCCGCGGTCAGGGACCACCCCCTGCGCAGACCCTATGGTGTACAGAAGCTGCCACGCCTGCTGTGCATGGAAGACTGGGACGTATAGACACCGCGGTGAGGGACCAACCGGTGCGCACCCCCTCTGGTGTCGAGAAAGTGCCACGCCTGCTACGCTCTCCGACCCTCACGCATAGGGGCCGCGCTGAGAGACCACCCCCTGCACACCCTCTCTGGTGTCGAGAAACTGCCACGCCTGCCACGCTCCACGCCTGCCACGCTCTCCGACCCTGGCACGCATAGGGGCCGCGCTGAGAGACTACCCCGTGCGCACCCTATCTGATGTCGAAAAACTGCCACACCTGCCACGCTCTCCGACTCTGGCACGAAAAGTGGCCGCGCTGAGAGACCACTCCCTACGCGCCCCCTTTGGTGTCGAGAAACTGCCACACCTGCCACGCTCTCCGACCCTGGCATGCATAGAGGCCGCGCTGAAAGACCACTCTCTGCGCACCCCCTTTGGTGTCGAGAGACTTCCACGCCTGCCACGCTCTCCGACCTTGGCACGCATAGGGGCCGCGCTGAGAGACCACTCCCTACGCACCCCTTTTGTTGTCGAGAAGGTGACACGCCTGCCACAGTTTCCGACCCTGGCACACATAGGGGCTGCGCTGAGAGACCACACATGCGCACCCCCTCTGCTGTCGAGCAAGTGCCACGCCTGCCACGCTCTCCGACCTTGGCACGCATAGAGGCCGCGCCACGCCTGCAACGCTCTCCGGCCCTGGCACGCATAGGGGCCGCGCTGAGAGACCACTCCCTACGCACCCCTTCTGGTGTCGAGAAGGTGCCACGCCTGCCACGCTCTCCGACCCTGGCACGCATAGGGGCCGCGCTGAGAGACCACCCCGTGCGCACGCCCCACGGTGTCGAGAAACTGCGACGCCTGCCACGCTCTCCGACCCTGGCACGCATAGGGGCCGCGCTGAGAGACTACCCCCTGCGCACCCCCTTTGGTGTCGAGAGACTTCCACGCCTGCCACGCTCTCCGACCCTGGCACGCATAGGGGCCGCGCTGAGAGACCACCCCGTGCGCACCCTATCTGATGTCGAGAAACTGCCACACCTGTCACGCTCTCCGACCCTGGCATGCATAGAGGCCGCGCTGAAAGACCACTCTCTGCGCACCCCCTGTGCTGACGAGAGACTTCCACGCCTGCCACGCTCTCCGACCTTGGCACGCATAGAGGCCGCGCTGAGAGACCACCCCGTGCGCACCCCCCACGGTGTCGAGAAACTGCCACGCCTGCCACGCTCTCCGACTCTGGCACGCATAGGGGCCGCGCTGAGAGACCACCCTGTGCGCACCCCCCACGGTGTCGAGAAACCGCCACGCCTGCCACGCTCTCCGACCCTGGCGCGCATAGGGGCCGCGCTGCGAGACCACCCCGTGTGCACCCTCTCTGGTGTCGAGAAGCTGCCACGCCTGCCACGCTCTCCGACTCTGGTATGCATAGAGGCCACGCTGCGAGACCACCCTCTGCGCACCCTATCTGATGTCGAGAAACTGCCACACCTGCCACGCTCTCCGACCCTGGCATGCATAGAGGCCGCGCTGAAACACCACCCCCAGCACACCCTCTATGGTGCCGAGAAGCTGCCACGCCTGCCACGCTCTCAGGCCCTGGCACGCATAGAGGCCGCAATGAGAGACCACCCCCTGCGCACCCCCTCTGGTGTCGAAGAAGTGTCGCGCTGTATGTAGACGCGTGTCTCATGTATGCGCCGGGCATGTGTTGCGCGCGGGTGAGGAGAGAAAGAGGAAGGGAGGAAGAGGGAGGTGTGAGGGAGGAGACGTGGGTGCGACGCGGGTGGGAAGACATGTGAGGAAGAACACCAGAACCCGACGCCGTTTGTATGTGCTGGAGGTGTGCTATGTGTACAGGAGGAGACGCGAGCGAGACGCTGTGTGTGTGTGTGTGTGTCTGTACGTGTATGTGTCCCTGTGGGGATGAGGTGATAAGAGAGGTGAGGTGTGTGTGTGTGTGTGTGTGTGTGTGTGTGTGTGTGGAAGCGTCGCGGGAGGGACGCGGGAGAGAAGAACACCATAACCCCACCAAGCATGTGCGGAACACTTAGCCTGGCGATGGACCCAACAATATACAATTGTGCATACCGCATGCGGACTTATCATCTTCGGTGGAGCCCCCCACAGGGCCACGAACCGGTGTACTGGGCGGGGGAGACGCATGCGGGCTGCGACACTGGGACCTTCGGTGGAGCTCCCTATGGAGCCACGAAGCGCTGCACTAGGTGGAGAAACGCATGCGAACTGCGCCCCTAGGACCGTCGGTGGAGCTCCCTCTGGGGCCACAGAACGCTGTACTGGGCGGGGGAACCGCATGCGGACTGCGCCACTGGGATCTTCGATGGAGCTCCCTATGAGGCCACGAAGCGCTGTACTGGGTGGGGGAACCGAATGCGAACTGCGCCACTGGGACCTTCGGTGGAGCTCCCCACAGGGCCACGAAACAGTGTAGTGGGCGGGGGAATCGCATGCGGACTGCGCCACTGGGACCTTCGGTGGAGCTCCCTTTGGGGCCACGAAACGCTGTACTCAGTGGGGGAACTGGGGCCACGAAGCGTAGTACTGGGTGGGGGAACCGCATGCGGACTGCGCCAATGGGACCTTCGGTGGAGCTCCCTCTGGGGCCACGAAACGCTGTACTGGGCGGGGGAAACCGCATGCGGACTGCGCCACTGGGACCTTCGGTGGAGCTCCCTCTGGGGCCACGAAACAATGTACTGGGTGGGGGAACCGCCGGTGGACTGCGCCACTGGGACCTTCCGTGGAGCTTCCTCTGGGGCCACGAAGCGCTGTACTGGGCGGGCGAACCGCATGTGGTACACCCCCCTGGGACCTTCGGTGGAACTCCCTATGGGGCCACGAAGCGCTATACTGGGCGGGGGAACCGCATGTGGTACACCCCCCTGGGACCTTCGGTGGAGCTCCCTGTGGGGCCATGAAACGCTGTACTGGGTGGGGGAACCGAATGCGAACTGCGCCACTGGACCTTCGGTGGAGCTCCCTTTGGGGCCACGAAACGGTGTAGTGGGCGGGGGAAACCGCATGCGGACTGCGCCACTAGGACTTTCGGTGGAGCTCCCTTTGGGGCCACGAAGCGCTGTACTCAGTGGGGAGACTGGGGCCACAAAGCGCAGTACTGGGTGGGGGAACCGCATGCGGACTGCGCCAATGGGACCTTCGGTGAAGCTCCCTCTGGGGCCACGAAGCGCTGTACTGGGTGGGGAAAACCGCATGCGGACTGCGCCAATGGGACCTTCGGTGGAGCTCCCTCTGGGGCCACGAAACGCTGTACTGGGCGGGGGAAACCGCATGCGGACTGCGCCACTGGGACCTTCGGTGGAACTCCCTATGGGGCCACGAAACGCTGTACTGGGCGGGGGAACCGCATGCGGACTGCCCCCCTGGAACCTTCGGTGGAGCTCTCTATGGGGCCACGAAGCGATGTACTGGACGGGGGAACCGCATGTGGTGCACCCCCCTGGAACCTTCGGTGAAGCTCCCTCTGGGGCCACGAAGCGCTGTACTGGGTGGGGGAAACGCATGCGAATTGTGGAGGAGGGAGGAGGGGGAGGAGGAGGAGTGAGTGAGTGAGGAACGCGGGGCGCTGTCTCTTCAAAACGAGGACCCAACACCACAGGATGAATGGGAGTAAGTCTCCCGTTCCCTTTCACTTCATTTAAGATCGACTCGTGTTGATCAGCTTTGCCTTTGCACCCCCTCGCCCTGGATAATGCACTCGCGTCAGCGGAGCTCTGGAAGATTGCCGAATGGCAAGGACTGGAAGCGAGGACCGCTGCGGCGACGACTCCGCCGACGTGACTTCGTCTCACAAGCAGTGGGGCCGAAGACATCGGGTATTGCCAGCGTGAAGACGTCCCGGTGGCTCGAGGAAGCAGAGCGTCCATCAATCCGTCCGGTCACCTTTTCCCTAAGCGCCACGGGGCGGATTGACGACACTGCTGTGATCCTCAAGCGCTTACTCCACTCAGGGCATGTAACAACAGAGACAGAGGCGGTTGTGACGACTACTCCGGCCACAACGCTCCATGGAACTACACTTTTTGGGATGGCTCGACATGGCGCCACGTCGCTCGTGGAAAACTCTCTTGCCTTGCTCTCGGAAAACAAATACCTGGTGGGTCACACGAAAATCACGGATCGAACATTGGCGGTCAACAGTCTCCAAGGATCTCCTCCGTTCGACCGTCCCGCCCTGGCTTTGCGCAAGATCCTTGAGAATCCCCCTCGCCATCCTCACTCTAGAGTACCCTCTCGAAGCGGCAGATGCAAACGACGGCAACGGTGATAGCAACCTAGCGGACCAATCTGGAGAAGGCCCTGCGCGTGAACATCGATGGGCACCCGTCGAGCACCTGGAGCCACCCTGATAAGAGGTAGGAGTGTGAGGCTTGGGGAGCGTCCATCCTCCCTTCCCCTGTGCGCCCCCCTCGAGCACCGAGGAAGCTCTTCTCGCTCGCGAGCTCGATCCTGCGAGTGCGGAAGGCAGTGGATGATAGATAAAGTTGGCACATGAAGCGACACACGACTAGCCCAAATGGTGAGGAGTGTCAAACTCAGGAGCCGCGACTAAGCGATTCACCTAAGGCGACTGAGCGGCTCACCCAAGGGGCGCGAGTGAGCGTTTCACCCAGGAAGCGCGACTGAGCGTTTCACCCCGAGGTCGAGGTGGTGAGAGGAGAGGTCACATCGGTTGCCTGAGTCTCCTTCCCCTGGCAACCTCATGGCGATATGATGCAAATGTTCTTCCGCCGAGAGGCTGCCCCTACTGGAATTGACGGGCCTGCCCAACGACGGCAGTCGTTCGGGCAAGACTGTTTGCTCTTGCACCCGAGAGTGCTCGTGGACCCAAGAGCGGCGGCCCAGCTGACACACGGACGCTCTCAAAAAGCACTGTCAGGCGAAGAACCACCCGACGCTAAGAAATCTCCTGTGCGCTGTCGGGCCAACTGCAGGATATCGGAGACGATCTCTGCTGCCTCCGTGGGGCAAACATCGCATCAAGGCTTGAGAAGGCCCCCTGCAGCCCGGTGGGCAAGACACTAATTGGCCAAATACATCGTGGCACGAAGAAAGCGGCGCGTTGGTGACTCCCGGCGGGGAGGGGAACGTATAGTGTTACTTCTCATGTGCGCCGAAGCTCGTGAGGATGCGAGCTGCTGTGCCGCTCGTAGTAACCCAACTTGTCTAAATAACGAACTGCTGCCATCCCTTGATGTCACATTACATCCGGACCGCTGGGCCTCAATCGGAGACGTACCTAACATTTCTGAATAATGCTATCCGCTCCCACGCATTCTCTCGTGCACTCCGCATTGTGTTCTACTGTCTCAGTTGCACGTAAGATCGTGCAACCTCCAAACCACATGTTTTGCGCTTGGCGTGGTCCCTGGTACACTGACGATGGTGAGGAGTGTGGGTGGGGTCATAGATGGAGTACTCAGGAAGCCTGAATGACGGCCCGTACATCTAGCAAGGAAAACGCGAACACCACTCTTTCAATTCGCGCATTGATGTCCTGTAGACTTGGCAAGTGCACAAATGACGCGCGCCCACGCCTCGAGCATCTCCATTGAAAAGGGTCCTGGCGCTACAGCTGGCTTGCCGACGAAACGCAAGATAATATGAGTTTTGTCTGCTGGAGGGATTGGAAAAAGAAACTCAGCCGATCCTGTCGGCTTGTGGAAGAAGCTGTTCCGTTTGACTCGTCTTCGTCGTCGCCGTCGCCGCTCCCTCTCTTTCCCTGGGCCCGTCGCCGCTCTCCCCTTTTCCTGGGCCTTCCTCCTCAAGCGCGTCAGCCAAAACGAAATTGAACACCGTCGTAATTGAGTTGAAGGGAAGCCCTTTCCCTTGGATCTCTTTCCCCGCCACGGGTGTGTGGTCCCGGGGGTGGTCCTGGGCATGGGGGAGGCCTGGGGCCCAGCACAAATCCCAAGACGAGCCAAAAAGTGCTCCAAGAGGCCCCCAAGACGGTCCAAGAGAACCCCAGATCGCCGAACGATAGGTCCAGGACGTCTCTCTACGGCCTCCACACGGCCCAAGAAGGCTAGAAGACGCCCCACGAGACATCGAAGAGCACTCATTCATTTCCCTTGGGGTTTTCGTTTAGGTTTCGGGGTTTAAGGTTTAGGGTCCACTAGCCCAAACTTGAAGCCGGTTGGACGTGTCCCACCCACCCATGACCCAAGACATATGGATCTCAAAACGACGACGACGATACCGATGACGAAGAAGACGATATTGATCTCAGAACGAGGACGACGACAGTCGCGCAAAGTCTTCTGGGAAGCCACTGCAACGCCGATGCGGCACGCGCGCGCGACGACGCGATTTGAAGAACAACGTATATGTGCGTGAGCCCCTGTGCGTCGCAAGGGCGCCGCCCAGCGGCGGTGAGATTGCATGGAGTAGCTGCGCAACGAGCGCGGGATAGCTCGTTGCCTCGAGGAGATGGATCCCCAGTTCGCATCCTTAGCACTGCGGCACGGTGCACGAAGGCCGATGCAAGGGCGATGCAACGCGCGCACGCTAAGCGACAAAAGCGAGTAGCTCCCCGCAACAACTTACCGACGCCTTGGCGATGCATGCCCCGGATTGCAAAGATCAGCGTGAGGGGTGCGCCCTGCGTTTTGCAAAAGCTCTCGGAACACCATTCCTGGCACTCCGAGGGCAAGGATCTGCGTGAGGGGTGCGCCGAAATAGGGAGCGGCCTAAGGGGGCGCATAAGGGCGCCATAAGGCATTTTAGGAATTAAATATTTATAAGCTCTTAGCTCTTAGGGTTGAGGGACACTAGCCCAATCGTGAAGCCGGTTGGACGTGTTCCACCCACCCATGACCCAAGACATATGGATCTCAAAACGACGACGACTATACCGATGACGAAGAAGACGATATTGATCTCAGAACGAGGACGACGACAGTCGCGCAAAGTCTTCTGGGAAGCCACTGCAACGCCGATGCGGCACGCGCGCGCGACGACGCGATTTGAAGAACAACGTATATTTACGCGAGTCCCTGTGCGTCGCAAGGACGCCGCCCAGCGGCGGTGAGATTGCATGGAGTGGCTGCGCAACGCCAGAACACCATTCCTGGCACTCCGAGGGCAAGGATCTGCGTGAGGGGTGCGCCGAAATGAGGGGCGGCATAATGGGGCGCATAAGGGCGCCATAAGGCATTTTAGGATTTAAATATTTACAGGCTCTTTGTTCTCATCAAGGATTTGGGGGTTCTCGCCTTCTCAACTTCCCGACGCTCCAAAACGGCCTAAGAGGCTCCAGAGATCGCCCCAAGAGGCCTCAAGGGGAGTCCCGAAACAGACCAAAGAGGGTCCGAAGACGGTCCAAGACGCCTGCAAGACGGCCCAAGGGGCCCCCAAGAGGGCTCCAAGAGGGTGCCCAGACAGGGGAACCAAACGGACATTTCGAGCTCTCGGCCCGGAGAGGCTCCCAGGACCCCAATAGGTCCCCAAGAGGCCCCCCGGAGGGCCCAAGAGGCTCCCAAGAGGCCTCCAAGATGCTCCCAAGGGGCCCCCCAAACTGCCCCCCAGAGGCATCCGAGAGCGCTCCGAAGATACCCCAAACGGGACTCCTGAGGATTCTGATCCACGTCAGCGTCGTCGTCAGCGTCGTCGTCGTCGTCGTCGTCGTCATCGTCGTCGTCGTCGTCGTCGTCCCCCGTCAGGGTCGGCGGCATCGGCCGTAAGGCCTTCGCATTACAAGAGCACAGATAATGAGTAAGAGTTCGCAACGAAACAGCGGATTGCGCATAATACTTCGTGCTCGTGCAAGCGCGCGGAGAAGATGTCTGCAAATGCTTCGTCCTGGGAAACGAAGGTCCATGAATCTTGGCGTTCTCACCCAAGCCGAGTTTGATCATCTTGCGCTCATCCTTTGGCAGCGAGGTCAGCAATATGGAGAACGGCTGTTCTGCAACAGTGGAACGCGCCAAGTTGGGTGGCAGCGACAAGAGCAGCAATCCAGGGTGGACGTACATACTTGGTTGATCTCATGAATCAGCAAGGCCGAAGCCATCGACTCCCAGCAATCGGGACGGCAGTGGCAAGATTGGCATTGCCCTAGCAATCAAAGGTGGAGAGAGAGAGGGACATAGTTCCGACGAGACTTCCCAACTGCATCTAGGCGTGGCGACGAGAAGCATCCCAGAGGTACCCCCAACAAGGAGGAGCAACTCTCGAAACACCTTGAACCTCGAGGCCCCAGATGCCCTGGAGGAGGAACCCCTCGCTGCCCCAAGAGCTCCCAAGTGCCCGCTGGTGCGCGACGCTTGGGGTGAAGGGAGCGAGTCCTGGACCGGACCCCCCTGGGGCTCCTTCCTGGACAAGCGTTCCGTCCCGGGTCGCTCCGCCCCAAGAGCCCCCCGAAGGTCCCGCTGGCGAGAACGGTTTGGAAAGAGGGAGCCGGGTCCGGACTGGGCCCCCCGAGGCTTCGCCTGGGACGAACGTTCCGTCCCGGGTCGTCTGACGGCCCCAGGGCCCAGGCCCCATGAGGCCGAAGAGGGCGGAACGCCTCCAGGACCCCTTGCCTCCATGACCCTTATTCCGAATCTCCCCAGGCATCTCATGGATTGAGCTGCCAAATCGGACGAATCGATGTATATACATATATGTGTGTATATCCATACACACATACATGTATGTATGTATGTATGCATGCATGCATGCATGCATGCATGCATGCATGTCTGTCTGTCTGTCTGTCTGTCTGTCTGTCTGTCTGTCTGTCTGTCTGTCTGTCTGTCTGTCTGTCTGTCTGTCTGTCTGTATGTATGTATGTATGTATGTATATATGTATGTATGTATGTATGTATGTATGTATGTATGTATGTATAGACAAGGCTTTAGCAACTCTCTTTGTTTCGGCTTCAAAGTCTTGGACGCATTGCGCAGGCAAGGCGTGCAGCGACTGGTAGTCGCCTGCACCGCGGTGTGTTTCGGCTATGGGGCCCATGTGGCACGCAGGGCTGATCCATGGGCTCCTCTGGGTCAGAGGTCTGCAGGGCTTTCCGGGGCCCAAAAGCTCGAAGCGCGAATGTGGAAGAGGGGTACTTCGGGCAGCGCGGCCCCCAGGGATCATGAGGTTCCGAGAGCCCGCAGCCGTCCTTGACTTCAGCGGGTTCCTCGGGCTGATGAGCTCATTGGGCGTGGAGGCTCGTAGGGTCCTTGGCATCACAGAAGCCATTGGTTCTTGCCCCATAGTGCGGGTCGTCTCATAGGGCTTGTGAGGCTCATGGGACTGATAAGGGTCACTGTGCTAATTGGGCGCAGTAAGCTCACAACGTTCATAACGGGTCGTCTGGGTCATAAGGTTCATATGGCCGACGCAGTTCATAGGGCTCATCTGGCTCTTGAGGCTCTGAATTTTCTCGCGGTCGTCGGGCCCATGAGGCTGACAGGGCTCATAGGGCTCGTAGGCCTTATGAAGCCCATATGCGACATAGGGCCCAAATGGCCCACTGGGCTGGTAGGGCTCATAGGGCTCGTCGGGCTCATTGGTCACATAGGGCTCGTAGGGCCCGTACAGTAGGGGCTTGACCACAAGAAACCTTCCACAAGAAACCCAACCCTGAGACCCCAGGGCGTCCATCAATTTTTGGTGTGGGCACGTCACGCCTTCCATGGCAAAATCATCGAAACCCAAGAAACCCCGGGCATCCTGGAGGCAAGCAGGGCGTTTCTTGGCATGGGCCTCCACTGTAGAGCAAGAATCAGGGAAGAGGCCAAGGAAAGCTGGACAATGATTTGCTATTCCCGCCAGAGGTGCCGCTGCGCCTGGCCTGAACCCGTCGCCCTCTCAGGCGAAGAAAAGTGTCGCCAACCATCCGAAGCGTGACCTCCGAATGGCCACATCTTCGCCGCACTGCCGCGTTCATCCCCATGAGTGCGCCGCGCTCCCCGCCCGAGTCCCGGGGCATTGGCGTCTTTTGCAGGCAATGCACGCCACCGGCTGCGACAGTTTAGATTCCTGCGACTTGTCGCGAGCAGCTTTCCCGCCTCCCCTTCGTATTCACTCCTCTCCGCGCGTTATCCCCATCCCCCTGTCCCGTTACCCCGCCCCACATCCACGATAACTGCGCGCCCTCTGCGGGCAACGTTTGAGCTTCGATTTACCGCCCGCGATTGCTATGTCTTTCTTCCTCTATCCTCCCCTCCCTTTCCTCTCCTTTAGCCTCCGATCCCCCTCAGCGCGACTGCAAGGCTCGAGTTTCGGCCACATTCGCAGGGCACCTCTTTCCCCAGCATCTCGATGCGACCACGTGCGGACCAAAGGAGGCTTCGAACGGTAACTGATGGAAAATGATCCTCCTCCTCCTCCTCCACCTCCTCCTCTCTTTCCCCCTCCTGCTCCTAGTGCTCCTCTTCCTCATCCTCGTGCCTCGCACTCGCGACGTCTCCGACCAGACGGCCAACGACAAGGCTAAATCTGGGCTAGAAGTTGTATAACAGTGGGCTAGCAGTGGGCAAACAATTTGCTAAAAGTGGGCCAAGTGTGGGCTAAAAGTTGGCCAGAAGTGGGCTAAACTGCTCTTGCAAATCTCCGCCGCATCCTCGTCCTGCGAATTCATGCGCCCGGTCTGCGCTTTCCTATGTCCAGTCGGTCGAAGGTTTCTCATGGCTCTCTATTGATTGCGTAATGTCGCCACCACGGCTGTATTCCCGTTCGTCGTTTTCCTACTCCGTCGGGCCTCTGGAGCGCGCAACTGGAAGACCAGCTAAGAGTGGGCTCAAGGTGGGCTAAATATGGGCTAGAAATAACAAGCCGTGGGCTACAAGTGAGCTAACAGTGGGCTAAAAGTGGGCTTAAACATTAGGCGCGATGAAGCCACCCAGATGCAACGTCCGACCAGCCCACCACGAAAACAATGCTATTCCAAGCCGTGTTTCAGAGCCACGCGAATTACACGGGCAATGCGCCACGGATAGCTGCACCCAAGGTTTACATTCTACCTCCTCCCCCCTCCCTCCGCCCCTCCATCATCCTCCTCCGTCCTCCCTCATTGTCATGAATTTCTCCCTCCTTCGTGGAAAAGCGGGGGGGCCCTGGCCCAACGCAGAAAGCTGGGAGGACTGCCGCAGACGCTTGCGGCGGCAGCGCGCAAGGTACGAGACGGACTAGCGCGGCCCCAGCGGCAGGCCAGCAGCGGGAAACGCAGCGAGGTAAGGAGGCAGGCAGGGGAGGAGGAGGGCGAGGGAGGGAGAGGAAGGAGGAAGAGGGAGCACGTTCCCCTAAGACCCTCTTTCGACTGATATGGCGCACAGCTGCAATTGCCCCCAAGCCCCCACGCGCAAAGAGACACGCCGCAGCGGCACCGGAGATGCCCCAGGGCGCGGCGCCCTGAAAACCATGACAACTTTGCTTTACCCACTTGCGCCATACAAGTGCGCAAACACAAAACAAGGGAGCTTAAAACCTAAGATCGTCAAGTGGCCGCGGCGGCAAACGGGAATACGATCTCGGCAGACGGAAATACCTAAAGTGCATCGGGCCTCTTACCTGAACCTTTGCTCATAAGTCTCATGGGTCTCACAGGGCTCGTAAGGCTCATACTTACCCGTTACGAAAGTTATTCATCTTGAGCACTGACGACTAGGGCGTCTCCGAGTGGCCCCCCGTTCCCCCCGTAGACTCCTAGCACGGCAGTCTTCGGCCTGGCTTGGCGGGAGAGAGTTCCGGGGTTCTCCCTGGTAGCATTAATAGTATATAACCAATTCAGGATAAAATCTCTCTCCCGTAAATTCACAAGGGAGAAATCACTCCCGGTCACTTCCAGGCAACTCTGAATCTCTCCCCGTGTGAAACCACAAGGAAGAATCACTCCCATACCACTTCTCACCACAGCGCCCACACATGTCAATTCTAGCCAAGATGAATTAACTTTCGTAACGGGGATGAGGACCCGCGCCTTGGGCGGGGCCGACCGTCTGTTGTTTGCGTTCGCGCCTGAGGCGGATACGGATTTCGCGCTCGCGTCGGGGCAGCGTCCTTTGCGGCGTCGCCATTGGGCTTCAGCGGTACTGTGTGCACTCGGCGTGCCAACTCCTGCATGATTGCGTCTTTGCTCGCTGCGTGCTTGCGGTCTCGCATGACACCAGGTTGACGTCAGAATGGTGCTCTCGCCGTCGCGTTGACCACCGTTTTTTTTTGTGTTTTTGTGATGTGTTTTCTGGCTACGTGTCTCACCCTTGTAGAAGTGCAATGTAGGATGCCGCTAGGACCCACGACTTTTTCACGCGTCGATGTCAGCCAATGTCAGGATAAACCCAAATTCGACATCCGAACGGGGCCCAGCATCACGCTCGATAGACACGTCGCCATCATCATTGCCGCAGCTGCTTCGCTGCGACGACATACTGCGCATCAGAGTTGTCCCGATTTCGAGCCCCGCCTTGGGCGGGGCCGACCGTCTGTTGTTTGCGTTCGCGCCTGAGGCGGATACGGATTTCGCGCTCGCGTCGGGGCAGCGTCCTTTGCGGCGTCGCCATTAGGCTTCAGCGGTACTGTGTGCACTCGGCGTGCCAACTCCTGCATGATTGCGTCTTTGCTCGCTGCGTGCTTGCGGTCTCGCATGACACCAGGTTGACGTCAGAATGGTGCTCTCGCCGTCGCGTTGACCACCGTTTTTTTTTTTTTTTTTTTTTTGTTTTTGTGATGTGTTTTCTGGCTACGTGTCTCACCCTTGTAGAAGTGCAATGTAAAATACCGCTTACCCGTTACGAAAGTTATTCATCTTGAGCACTGACGACTAGGGCGTCTCCGAGTGGCCCCCCGTTCCCCCCGTAGACTCCTAGCGCGGCAGTCTTCGGCCTGGCTTGGCGGGAGAGAGTTCCGGGGTTCTCCCTGGTAACATTAATAGTATATAACCAATTCAGG